ACACAATACTGTTCAAAAATAGTAGCATTTAATGGAAATAACTTTCAAAGGTCTGCCAAATCCATGTGTTTTTTTTTATATCCGTCTACATTATCGTAGAACGATTAACGATATTGCCACCGTTCCTTGCATGTATGAGTAGCGTTATCAAATCGTAAAATATGCAATTGGTGACGCACTGTAAGTAAGCCAAAATTAATATAAACCATGTTAATATTAGGCGGTTATTGGCTCAGACAAGCTTACATCATATTGAAGGTCCCAATGGCGTTTTTTCTTCGTTTTAAGAAGTGGGGGTGATTGGTGTTGAGGGGAGGGGTGGGAGGTACAAAGACACCTTTTGACTAGAGCTTCATTTTATTTACAAATAATGAAAATCGTACACACGACAGCACAATATAACAAAGCAGGTTTAATTTGTACCACGTAGCACCTTGATGTACATAATACAACCATACAGTTTAGTTTATTTACAATGTACAATTTGATCTCAAGTTTGGGTTATCTTTTTTAATGAACCTTAAATTACTTTGATCTTTTAAATAGACAATGGTTATTCATTTGATGAATTATTTATATAAATGACGCGACATGCGATTAAATGCTAAGTTGTGTGTGTTTTTGTGGAATCTGTGAAACGAGTATGTGAATCTGATAGACAATTTTTGATGAAAACACAGATTGAAAAGATTGTCCAAGGTTTGACGTTTCAATAAAAATGATAATTTGTCAATGATTAGAATCTTAAAAAATAAATTGTGTTCAAAATGAAGAAAAAACATATATTAGAATATCATTTAGAATACAATGCCAATCATAAAAAAAAAGTGTGTGGACAATTATAGTTTACTTCTATATATGAGCACAAGTTACATTAAAGTCAACTCTGAGCATGCGATGTTTTACCGCAGCTTCGTTAGACCCAAATATAACAGACCCGTAACAAGAACTTTAGTCAATAGTTGACACTTTAAAGGTACCATTTCACGAACACCTTCCATTCAAAAAGTGGGCGGAATGTGACTCGCCGTTGTATCACAAATGGTTAAAGCTACAAATTTTCTTAATTTACATCGAAGAATTTGTATATCCAAGGGCAGTTCAACCTCTCTCCGTCATATTGTTCGTCCATCTAGCAGATATTCACGCAACTAAATTCAATTTGTTTAGGACTGGATTCTACGGAACAAAATATATCTATACATAAAGATTAAAAGTTACTCGATTGCAAATTGATCAATACCATGATGACACACGAGGGAACCCGATAGTTAACAGTTGCTCATGATCTACTTTCTGGCAAAATTTGGTTCGGGTGGTCGCCTTGTGCTATTGTAATTTGCTAACATCTAGTTAATCACAGGTTCTGGTAGTTTTTAAAGTTTTTGGCCCTCTCTCTAGGTATCACTAAGAGCGAGTCAACAGTGGGAAGGGTATTTGCTCGTTGATCCAAAGATAAACCTTATTTCCCATTATAATTCATGACAATTTGGCGTCTTCGCAAGTACAATAATGTATATCATAATTAGATCTGAACGTCGAGGAGATCATTGGACTGATTTGATACTTATTGTACTAAGCAGGACTAAATGAATTTGAGTGTTCGTGAAATAGTACCTTGATCATATGATGGAATTCAAATCAACGTATTGAAGACAGTACATAAAAAGGTTGACAAAAAAACAAACGTAGCGTTACAATGAATGATATACTTAAAGATATTTCGTCTATAAAAAACCGGGGTCTTAATTTCCCTTTAAGGAATTGACCTGTATTTTTCGTACCAAAGCATTATATTGATCCATGATTTTGACATTATGGACCGCTTGAGTATTTAATGTTGGTAGCGGTAGCCATATTTCAATCCAGATGGATCAACTTTGATACACAAAGCAGTAAAGCAATTAAGCCTTATATTTGGCAAGCATATTTGAAACAAGTTTGTAATAATTTGCTGACACAAATACATTCTCATCTAGTAATATTTTTTTCAGTGCACTCAGAATCCCTAGTTGACTGAAAAAATATATTTATGTCAGCAAGTTTCGATCTAAGATACGACCTACTTGAAATTACACGAAACAGACCGATCAATTCGCTCTAGGACACTTGGCTTGAAGTAAGAAGTCTTTGGTTCGATTTAACTCTTTCTAACTAACACACATGTTAATTTGTCTACTACGTCTAACTTGTATCGTCGTCCAACTTCTTTGGTCCCTAAAGGCACTGTCAAAGAACGCCACTAGACCTCGTGAAACACATGAACATCTATCTAGTACAAGCTAATTGTAACTGACTCTCTAATCTATAATGATGCTAGACTATCTCGATCTGTCTCCGTTTCTGTTGTCGTACCGGCACCAAATCTTTGTTGAACATTGAGTCTGATATGTTCTGAGGATGGAGCTGAAAAGAGAAGAAAAAAGGTGTCAACGGAATATTCCTAGGGTTTGAAGATCCTGTATTTTGGTTTTATGTGTTTTGTGGGATTTTGAGAACTTATGTGATCGCCATTTTTTTCAACGTCAATGCAAACCTTCATTATTCCACTCGCCCTTTTCAGCTTTAGTGCATTTATTGTAATGAAATAAACAATTTCACTGGCTTTTCAGGGTGTACAAAATTTGCTTTTATGTTGTTTGTCAAAAGACCATAGAGTCTTTATAGGTACTCTAATTTCTTTTATAATGCTGAAAACATGGTTATTATTGACAATTCTTCCCCTATATCTTTATGAATACCAGGATTACACATATTCTAGTTTGATAAGCTGATTCATAAGAACCTCAGTCGTAAACCTAATGTTTCAATCGTATCAAATTGTAGGAACCAAGTCATTTTTATTTCTAATAAATAAAATATTGAATTGAATTGTTTCTTTTCAAACTGTAACATCATATTTCGTATTCTAATTCGTCTACGATTTACATTTATTTCAGCATCTAATGCATTTTAACAATTTTATTGTTATTGCATATGTCAATTTTTACATAAACAGAAATAGTATTTACACATTTTATTTATGCATTACAGCTAATGTGAAACAAACTGTTCAAGTCGTATTAACTAAAGGCAATCATGAAATAACTTATAATGACGACTCGACCTGTCGTCTCTAAACTAATTTTGAACCTTATGAGTGACGGTATATCAATATTATTAAGAGATATTAGATAGAAACTAATAACTACATTATTGCCTATTAATATCCATTCTGAATACACAATACGCTTTGATATTCATATTGAGGCAAAGTTCAAGGGAACGTCAAACCTTTGCCAATTAGGTTTGCGTTTACACATAATTGCTTCCAATTGTCAAGATCTGATACGAAACATATGGACTCTGTGATACGAATATGAATACAGGTTGGACCAGAGCAATATCATGCGATTGTTTGGTCTTTGGGGGGGGGGGGGTGTTTCCATTTATTTGTCATTTATTTGCTGTAGTGTAATAGTATGTTATATGGGGTTTCGCCAAAGGACTTTCTGTATATTCGCAACTTTGGCAATGCAGCATTGGACAAAAAATTCAATGTCTTGATGAACCCAATTCAGAGAGTACATGTACCTCTTTATAACTGCCCAAAATTTCTATTAGTTTTCGTCAACCAAAATCTCTTGACATGGTTTCGTTAGTTTACATAATCAGAACTTGAGACGTTCTGTTAATCAATATATGGAATAAGCACTCTGCCTTGACAGACTTGTCAAATTCCCCGACAATTGCTCTACCTAGAGATCGTCTTCACATTTTTCTTTTAATGACAAACGCCTTCATGTTCTGGTTTGTGATTGACAATTTATTTTGTCCTTATCAATTAGAGATCTTTTGACTACTGTCTACTTTCCAGTGGAATTCTGAAGGCATGTTGAAACAATCATGAACAAGTATGTAGAACATTTTGAGACCGGAACCAGTTTTCCCTGTATTTCTTCTTAATATGTCTCTCACCAATATTATATACATGTCCATTGATTTTTATGTCAGTTGAAATATTCCAATGAATCTGTTGTGTCAAACAGGCGTATTCCTCATCGTTATTTAGATGTTATGTAGTTTCTTATTTCAATGATAGATTTTTGGATCTACTATTTAGCATTCTCTTACTCTTTCTGAGGCACATGAAATTGCCATTCTATAGGATCTTGCGAATGGTCCGACAACTATATACATATATTGCAAAGATATCTCCTTTTTTGCTTAACCATCCACAATTACACCCTGCACTGCAGTAAGAGAGGTTTCTGGACCAAAGGTTAAATTGTGGAATTAGATGCGTAATTCCTTTAGGATTTTTGAATGAATTATTAATCTCTTTATCAATTTAAGAGTGAACAGCCAAGAAAAAAGTACATGTAATGAAATGTCTATGTATTGTAATGAAATGTAATGTATATGATTGATAATGAACCCTGAAGTAAATGTGTTCTAACTAATTATATAATGTCCTACATACTATCGAACTTACGAAAAACGTTCAGAAATAATAAATCACATCAGAAAAAAAAATTCATTATGTTTGATTCAACTGAACAATTGTATAGTTTATTGAGCTAGTTTCGTAAGAAGTAAGTAATAATTTTAATTTTTCTCAAAATAAGCTTTTTTCAATGTAAAAGCAATTTGGCATTATTCGAATGTATTTTGCATTATTGTTATATAGGTTACATGGATAATGGATCTTATTTTGAACTTTATTAATCATTCTAAGAATGCTTTGCAGTAAGATTAAGGGTCGTTCGAAAGATTGACCGCTTTTACAATAAAGATATTTGTTCTGTTTAGAATTTACCAGAGCTTTGGGTCGTACTGAGGGGGAAGTTGGCTATAGAAGAACTCCCGCTTTGTCCATATTAGCAGTATCCGTAGATCTCCATAACTAAATTTGCTTTACAATCCATAGAGAGTCACATTTATATGTTTGGAATTCTCTGTGGATCTCTGCATGAGCTGGTTGATAAAACCAAGACGCTCTGTTACACTTTGATACATTTTTAAGGCACTGATGCAGATAGGAACACAGTACAATGACATATTTCTATTAAAATGGATTTCTTACCGTAGTTATTGGTCGTGCCTGTTGTTCCTGTCTGGGCCATTTTATAACTAGCAGAATTCATGGTCAATTTTCGTACGTTTTTCTGTGGCTGGAAGACTATCACATACACTTTTGGAAAAAAGAGACACAGCAAGGCAACGGATGCACTTAATGATATAGAGACACACAGTGTTGTTATTTGGATCTGAAATGAAATAAGAATCAGCGTTGATGGAAACATAATGATTAGCAATGTGTGGTCTCTTCGATAGAAATGGATCTTTATTTGATTTAACGAATGTTCACAAATACTTCGAGCATATGACATTTTATGTTTCTGGCATAATTCTACATTTGGTGATAGCTAGCTTTGGAAATGAAGACTAATTAAACGTGTGTTGAAAAGATGCTACAGCCCTTTTTTTCCGTGGACAGAGCCAAGAAGTATTCTGAAAGTATGATGTATATACTAGATGCTATATATTTGTTAAAACGAACTTAGTTTGCTTTTTCACATAAACTCTATCCAAAAATATTGTCGTACCCAAACAAAGGTTTAGCTAAGCAGGAAATCAATAAGACTTTAATGTTTGTTTAAACGTAGGAAAGAATAACTTTAAGTGGATGTCTCAGTTAGCCTGACTTGAAGACAAATCTGCACGAATATGAAAATAGACACAATTTCTAAGACATTCGGACAATGAAACATATAAGTGTTGTTCCTTCGTTCGGGAAACTTGGAATGTCAACATGCAAGTTTTGTACTACTCCATTATTTACACACTTGAAAATGAATTTATATCGATCTTTACTGTTCAATAGAAATAGTTCGTGTAACCTGATGAAAAACATGGCTATGTCGTGAGCATCTTCGAAGAGACTTTTCCAATGTCTTCCTACTCATTAAATGGATTCGTTTGTTCAAGGTAATTACGAAATCCACATGAGATCGGGAGTTTTAATATTTTTTTTTCAATACTGTTTTTTTTTGGATGCAGTCACTTGATGAAGGGGGCGGAGGCTCAGATGGTATGTTTCAGATAGGTCATTGTACCAACTTTTAAAATTTATTCCTCTACTAAATTGACACTGATCCATTGGTGATGGATGGGACACCATTATCCCTTGTTCATCAACCTCCTGTGTTTAGTATTTTGGTTGCAAATAATAGTTGCCCACTGACTGACTGTCATTTTTGAATGTCCTCATTTGTTTGAATTCTTTTTGGCCAGTGCACAGTCGAAGTTTAATTCTGTACTGAAAGCAATCATGGTTGCTCATTGACTGGTGGTACTTTTTGAATCATAGTACTTATTCTGTTTGAATTCTTATTCCAGTATGCGCTTGGTAAAACTGTCTATGGGAAAATTTATCCGTATGCTACACCCATACGCCGATATTTTGGAAGGTTAGAGCAAAACGAATCATCAATGAACAAAATGGTAAAGAGTTTTGCAACATTTGCTAACTTAAATCGGGTCAGTCTAAGTCTTCAGCATCAGGCATTTAACCACAAGAAATACAAGTAATATCTTAAAACTTTTTAAAAAAAAATTCACCGATGTAAAAAGAAAATTAATTGGACTATTGATTAAAAAATTAAAACCTTTATCTCCAATGACGAGATCTTGTAATCGATCGACCTATGTGTACCTTCCGGGTCGCACGATTTCTTAATCTTCTAATTATTTTTTTTTTCTAAACCTGGTCGATAATTTACATGAAACTTTTTTGTTTCGTTCTGAGCTCCAAATCTGTCGAAGTAATACTTCATTAAGCAATCCTAAATCAGGCATGGGCCATTAATGGTAATTTTTGTTTTTGCTTCTTATGAAATTTTGACAAAAAACATAGTTTTGAAAAAAAATCAGTTTCAAGAAAATCGAGTCAAAACTTCAAAGAGATATTTGTATGTCTAAAATTATGAAAAAAGAAATGGTGTATCAAGCCAATTAAAGATTGCTCACTGTGAAATATGGAAGAAAACTAGACTTTTTTGCTTACAAACGTCACACCTTAAAAATAGTAATTGGATGTTTCCCCCCTTGTGAATACTTTCGAAGATGGGAGTTTTGAATTTCTGCCTTAATAAATGCAATTATAAAAATTACAAATAATATCGAAAAATTCTGCGAGGGCTCCTCTCCAGTACCTACATTTAAGAATACAGTGTCAAAAGTTCGCAGATTCTTTTCCATAATCAAAGTCACTTTTCTGAAGCATTTATTTCCAAAATGGCGTAGGTTCAAATTATCAGGCAATAAAATGAATAAAGAATATATTTAACCCCCCAGGTTTTGAAATATAGTCGATTTCTAGAAATTTAAAACCCACGTCATGTTGAGTTCAATTTCAACGAACAAGCCAATTTTGAGATATTCTAGTCAATAAATTCATCGACACTAATAGAACCACGGGTCTACCATGGCCAGAACTAAAATTAAAATCTCAGTAAAAGACCAGATTTCTGCTTCACGTAACACAAAAACCCATCGAGACGCGGTAATGTATTTTCTGCATGTTCTGTTCGACTTGGAAAAAATAAGTATTAAGTATGGACTATATTCCAGACAACCATTTGCCGTTTAGCTGATCTGAGGTCGACCTCGATACGCACGATTAAAGAGAAATTTGACTTTAGCCATTGCGCAATGACTTTGAGAATAAAACACTATAATGTATCTTGATTACCACAATCAATAAGCATAAGCACAATTCAAAGGGAGCATCAGAAATAAATAAGATGGAGTTAACATGCCGCAAAGCGACAATGAAATGTCTGTTTTCTGTACATATCGGTTGTAGATTAGGTCCATGTGTAAGGTTATGCCAGATAATTAACAATGTGTGTCGTCTGAAAACATCTGGATTTTTGTCGATTTACATTATTTATTGTTTTATTAGCGTTGTTATGCAGCATCTTGGGCGAAATGGTTCCAATTCAGACTAGTGTAACGCCAACTTAATATTTATAGGCAAGTAGATAGAGACAAAATTCATTAAGAATTGTAGGGATAATTTTGCATGATCAATTGATTTGTTCACAACTGTACCTTTACATTGACAAACATATTTGTTGTCGTGACAAAGGAAGACTATAAATTTTAACTAAAGCTTAATTATAGAGTGTTTTAACGGTAAAATCTATAAGATACGAAGTGATCTATATGAGGTGTCTGCTAATATTTCCAATATAATTCTTTTTTGAATTTTTGAAGCTGACAATTGTGAGCATGAAATATTTATGGAAGTTTGAAAGGATGGAAGATTATGTTCTTCGAGCTGTCCAGCCTGCAACATATTATATGACCTTGGTTTATTGCCCAATCTAAACGATGCGTGTTCCATGGCAGTCTCTCTTACCTAAGGTAACTGCTAACCTCAGCATGGATGCAGGCTTTAACAATATACTTACCTTAAAAGAATTCAGTGTTCCAAAATAGATTGGTACGAATGCTAACCATATGATACATGTAGTGTACATAGCAAATCCAATAAATTTGGATTCATTGAAGTTTTCTGGAATTTTTCTAGTTTTCACAGCATAAACTGTACATATTATAATAAGTAACATATTATATACTAACGATACTAAAAATGAAATATCGTCACTTTTGCACTTTAAAATTATTAATGGCTTTCGTTCGTCAGGTATATGGAGTCGAATGCCCGGAGTCTCTATCAACAGCCACACTGCTGTAAACAGAATTTGTATAGAAATTAATATTAGAGCTAAAAGTATCTGCGATTTAGGACTAATAAATGGAGGTCTTTTGGCAGAACGTCTAGCACTTTCGAATATCCGCGATATTCGGTTAGTCTTTGTAAGTAAAGCTGAATATATGATGGAGAAACCAAATCCCACACCAAATCTCTGTAAAGCACACACAATAACAGATGGCATAGCCAAAAGCACAAAAGTCATGAGATAGCAAAATAAACAGCCGCATAGTAACATGTAGCTTAGTTCGCGTCCTGACGCCATCACAACCGGAGTATTATTATACAATATAAACAATAAGATTACAAAATTCGTACACATGATGCCCACCGCTGCCAGACACATAGGAACTATGGCATAGATACTCGTCCATGTCATATGCTCGATAACAAGACTGTAACATCCCGTTTTGTTGTCGTACGGCCAACCACCAGTACCGCATGATTCACACGTACGTTCGTCTTTAACGTACTCCCATGGTTGACATTTCGTACAGATCCAACAACACGGATCACCTTGTCGCATGTTTTTGATTTCACCCTCTTTGCATGGTTCACTGCACCGCGATGTTGGAATTTTATCCGTTCCACCTGCCCAAATTATTTTAGAATGATCTAGGTTTAATGTTTTCGACCATCGGCCAATTTCTTGGTATTCATAATGCCTGGTTGTTCTGTTTCTTTGGTAGTTCATAATGGTGTATCTCCCTAATGCATCGCCGTTCTTATCAAACTGTACATGGGCACCATAATTATCTGAAAATATATATATATATATAGCATGAAAATTCCTAAACAAAAACTATCAAGGGTGGAATTAGCTTCCATGGTACATTTTTGTGTAACGTTCTGGTAGTGACGACACTCTGTAGGGGTTACTGTGTCATCGGGGGGTGAACGTACGTTTAATTTGAATTCTGAAAGTGATTAGGAAAGTTGAAATTATCAGTGATAAAGCAAATATTAAGAGAACTATAACCATATAAATTCATACTCCCCCCAAACAATTAAGTGTCAAGCATTAATATGTAAAATTACATTTAAGATAATTTCATGGGTGTAAGTATGAAATAAATGCCAATAATATAGAAATACATTTTTACAATTTGCATAATAGTTATATTAGAGACGATGAGAGATGGACTTCATATCTTTCTGAAACCGATATTACATTTAATGTCTTCTTTTTGACAATTACTTTTGTAATGTATACATTAATTTTATATTTATTTTGTTTTTCTCATTGTTCAGCTAATAACGCTGTAGTAAACGTAGATGACTCATATGACTGCATATCGCGGTGTCAGTTGGTTATGTACGTTGATGATTTGATGGTTTGTTAGCAACATGTGTTCTCGTACCACTTTTTCTACACAAAAGACCTAGTCCTTCGCCCTGTTAATAACACTCTTATGTGTTAGAAATCTTTCGGAAGCAATAAGTATTTCCTAATACAAGGATAACCTAAAAAACCTATTGCTGCCAAGAAATCGGAACTGCCAGGCCAAATTTTAAATCTTTTTGACTTGTGTTCTGCAGCTTCCTGCATACCCACGAGATTGGGCAAAGTTATTACTCTGAGTACGTTTTGCGATGAATAAATTGCAGAACAAAAGCCAAACTTGTACATTACCATAACAACGTATAGAAACGTGTAATATAAGTGATTGTAAATAGTGTGTTATTGTTGATTTTATTTACGGTGACATAATAGAAATCAATTTATTTTCACATCAATCTATATATTAAATTACTGCAGGTGCCGATGATATTATTGATATGATCACTCAATCAGTATGATCCAATTATTTTTTGATGTAATGACGTAAGTTGATCCAACCTCCGCCAATAAATTCGGGAAATAAAAACACGCCCAAAATAAATTTGACTTTATTGTCACCATTATTGTTCAAGATAAAACCAAGGAGTTATTTTCTGCTCAAATAGGTTTCTGGAAAATTTTTAATTTGCCAATAACTGCAAATATATAGACAAATATGTCCATCTCTTGCAGTTCATATACTTCTAAACATTGACAAATGACATGAATACGTGTTAGTTTTGTCCTAGACGAAAGAATTACTGTTCTGAATTTCTTAAAAAAAGCTTTTTTGATATTTTCATTTCATGTTGCTTTTTTTAAACGGAATTCGATATTTCAAATTAGTTGTTGTTTGGTAGATTCTCTTTGTAAGTTTAATGACAAAACACCCGATACTGTTGTTGGTTGGTGTTTTTCACGATATCTAAAGTAGGAACGCCTCTAACTACGGCCTTTTTTCTTATCTAACTTCATCGTTCAATCTTGCTCTTTTTGTATACTTAAAACTTAACTTTATTCCGCACTTACAAGAAATGTTATTGACTAAGGTTGCGTTTAATCTTAGTTATTATATTTTTGTTTGGGGGGAGGGGGGTTGGTTTGTACGTGAACGAAATTTGTCAATTTTTGTGATACAGTAATAAAAAGACTTGTGAATTGTGTTTTTGATCACTGATATCGATTTAGCCGCAGATGTTTTTTCATTCATGTTGTTGTTTATCAGAATGTAATAAATTCGATATGCGGTTATTGAATATGATAAAAATATATTAAGGGCAATTCAATAAAAGTTCATCATTATACTATTGGTTAAAATGTCTCAGTGTATTTGCAGTGTTTTATAAAGTTATTTTGGATAATATTAATAAACATTCTTACCCTCGCATACCACAGTCTAAAAAAACATCCTGCAATGGATTCATTCGTAGGAGAGTAAGCATAATATAAAACTAGTCGGCAAATGTCCATCCGTTGTTTAAGTCTTTGAGAGATGATATGATTCCGAAATATTGGTGCGAACATCTTTTATAGATTACCATGTATTTGTAAAATGTTAACCCAGACGAAAACACTTAAGGATGAAATGAAATAAATGACATTAAAGATAGTATTGAATTATGAACAATTATCAGTTCTAATTGAGTTCCATTGAAATAAAGCCATATTCAAGAGCAATTCATGGTAACGCATTGCATGTCCGCTCTGTATCAATGGAACTGCACTGCTCAGTCGGTTAACTTATATGTTCCCGGTTACATCCTTGCTCAGGTGGAGTTGAAACCTGTCAGTCAGCGAGGACAATAGTTGGAAATGGAAAAAAGAGTATTCTTATGCCGCTGTTAATGAGCAATTTATCCCATTTACTATTGCAAGACGACGCCCATAATTATGTGCGCAACACTTATTTTATATTGAGAAAGATAGAAAAATTCTGGGCAATGCACTTTGCCTTGCTTTCTAACATTGTAAAATATACCTTTCCATGATATTTACAAAATTGGTTTGTAAGACGTAAAAGATGATTAATAGCTAGAATTTTTAAAAAAATTGAAATTAAAACGCATTGATCATTCTCTCCTGTAGAAATAAAATAAAAATAAAAGAAAGTTGTTTTATGAGACAGCATTGTTTATGTACAGAGAATGATTTTGATTTTATTTTGCAAGAAAACAAATTCACGTTTGCACGACATGACTAATGAACAAACAGGTTTCTGTTTATATAATGCCACAGTTACAATAGTAAAATATTTTCACTGTATATTGGTGCTCAACAGATCAATTGTAGAGCGATATAGAAATATTAAAACAGAACTTGGATCGTGTTGTTCGAGTTTTGTTTTAATATTTCTAATGCCACATTTAGATAGAAGATAAGATTATTTGAAATTTGGACTGACATCAATACGTCTGTAAGAACAATATTTGTATATGAAGATGGAGAAAAAGGATAAAATCGACCAATCAGATTGGCGATGGAATGAAAGCCCGGGATTAACGACTTATTGACCTTAGGGTAGTTTTTGTGTCGGTGTCATCATGTCGTTGATTAAGTCAATACCGACTTGAGACTAGATGCTCGTTATTAACGTTGGCCGTCATGGCTCTGGGCATTATTCTTATTTTCATCTTCTTAATATCCAGAGAAGTGATGGCCTCCAGAAAAACTAATAACTTACTCTTATAACAGTCCAATAATTTGAAATCACAATGAAGCCCGGTTCGAGTTAGCGGTTCACTAATACTACTGTGAATTACTAAATCTTTCATCGTGTGTTTTAAGCAAGGAAGCTGGGATTAATTAAATTTCTCTGTTTAAAAGTTTAACTTATTATATTCACAGAAGGGATTAAGGTCAACATATTTCATACATGCTTGTAAACAAAACAGATTTTGAAGAAGGGATTTCAGGCCACGGAGGGTTTGATTCTCACAAATGCGCAGGTCTAAAATGGAACAAATATTCATTTACAATTTGAAAGAGGTGGTCCTAATCGCTGGGATGTAGAATTTGTTGCTGATTAATTTTTCTACTTTGTGTTTTACAATCTTTGAAAAAGACGACTCGAGTCGACCAAATCAGGGGGATAATGTTTCATTTATATTATGTCAGTGTATCTTTCTACTTTGTCTTTAACAATCTTTGAATAACGGGACTCGAGTTGACTACAATCACAGGGATAATGCATCATTTATGTTTTATAAGTGTATCTTTACCATGTATTATGTGTCTTTTCAAGGTGAGGACAGCATTTGGATAGTGTGTTCTATAAAATATTCGCTTATCCATTAATAAGCTTAGTTGCAATTGTCATCTTCAATGGAATATTAGGCTTAAGAAAATTTCTGATACCACGGCCAGTGCCTCAGAGAATGGTCTCGTAAAACCATTATCACAAACTTATTCCATGTAAGTACATTAAAGACGAGTAGCATCATGAATGTAACATTGCTATTGATTTCTATTCTCTGTTAGTCTAATGCTTACTTAGTAAGTCTGAGAGGGCATAAGTGTGATTATATTGTATTTATTCCTTTATTTATGACGTTATAATCAGTACTTTTATTACACCAAAACAATTCCTTCTCATCACTTTCAAGATTCTCATACCTTAGATATCATAACTATTTATCCAACATAAAGCCAAGGATACTTTGGCAATTATTTTAAAATTCAAAGGACACTTGTATGTGTAATTTATTATTTTAAGAAATTCTGTAAAATTAGAAGTGTTAAAGCACCGTTTACAACTACAATGTTGGAAAATTAAGGACTGATTGATCGATTGAAATCAGGTTTAAAGTTATAAAAAGCCTTAGGAATTCTTATCAGACGTGTGACCCAACATTCACGAAACTGGAACAACCGAATCGGGCATATACGACTATATAGATAGACTTAACTTCGGCCATTTAAGATCTTATTGCATGAGTAGAAAAGTAGGACGTCAACTCCATTCATTTCATTTTATTTAATGCATGAGAAGGCTTTTCACATTAAAAGAGTGAGCGTTCTCTAACCAAGATTGCATCTTATCTAACCCTGCCTCCACACAGCTAGCTACCACCAATACCTTCCATCGACCAGTATTTATTTCACCACAGAATATGAAGTGGAAACAAGTCTCATTGTGAGTAGCTGGAACTGATACAATCAGATGGTGAACACTAAAGAGTTTATCAGTTGTTAGTTATATCACAATATTAAGATCTTAATATAAAATACTCTACTTCATCATAAGTCTTTAGAAAGATGACTGATACAAATGTCATCACTATCATTCGGTTAGGATTTCATCAAGAATTTTGTCAGAAAGCGTTACGACCGATGGGAAATTCAACGGTACTGGTAGATCCACACTGTGACTAAAATAATAGAGAGTCTTTATCCTTTGTCGCCGAGCAGGTATGCAGACACATTTTGCATCCTTGTT